CCCCCCCCCCCCCCCCCCCCAAGACATATTGCAGCATACCTAATCCTGCTCCACATAAGATGTCTGTTTCCAGGCTAAGAGCCAAAGACTGCAGTTTGTTTCTTATAACAATGGGGTTGTCAGCAGCACATCCCCACTATCCTCACAGTATGCACACAGACCACTCAGACTGAGGGAGCCTCATGTAACAGGCAGTACCTAACCCCTGAACAACCCTAACAGTTGGACAATACCACTGATGGCATCTGCCCTGACAACACTGGTGACTCCCTGGAGACAGGCAACAACAACAAAAACCAAGAAAGCAACCCAGTAACAGTCTGAATCTTGGTTTGTTTGAAGACAATGGCAAAACTCCAAATAATGCCAATGCAGTAACATAACTTTGGGGGCAGGCAAGCATGGCTGATTCAGAGGGGATGCATGAGCAGGCAAAGGCTCACTTTCCCCCTTTCCCACCATCGTTGCCCAGGGTGCCAACATATTAAGTTATGTTTCTCTTCCAGTGGGCCTGGGATTTGGCCCATCAAGTTTTAAAAGCTTCCAAAAGCTTTAAAAGCTACTCACCCACCACACTGTAGTTATTAGAGATTATAAAGAGCCAGGCTTATCCTCAGTAAAATCAATAAGAAAGAAAAAAAAGACTCCACCCTGTACTAGCAGAATTCTTACTGAAAGTCCCCCACTTCGAGTGCCTTAATAGAAAGGGTGACTGGGTAATCTCCTTCCTTCCTAGCAGCACACTTCCACATTTCCTGAGTACTTGTACAATCACTGTCTAGTCCAGCTGTGGTCTCTGGAGTGGAGCCACCACACACTAAGTGTTAATTAGGTCTTGCTGGTTTGGTCAAGATTATTTCCTGCTTCTGAGGCAGATGCTTACTGAAGTCCACACCTACTCCAACACCATGTACCTATCAGTTGCTAAGCCCCACCAATGTAGAATTAATTCCTGAAACTTTCATAGGCTAATGGGCTCCACTTACTCTTCCATTTTTCAGCTCAATTTTTTTCTTCTGTCCTGAAATCCACTGATACCTGCTTTTATCAGGAAGATCGTAAAATGACGATTTCTGATAATTTAACTGAACTCCAGTGACCTCATGACATGATAGACATAATGGCAACTAGTTCTCCCTGGACTCTGGGGCATTCTAGCAGGTTTGTGGCCACTGGGTTCATGCAGATTCGTGGCCGTTATGCCCCGGTGGCTGCGTGTTCCCGTCAGGCTCAGCCTCTAATGCAGCCCTCCCTCGATCACTTACTCACCATGCCTTGTTCTCAGTAGAGATAGTGTAAGGGAGGATGCCCATCGGCTGTTGGAGAGAGCCAGAGTCCATGCAAATCATTACTGGGCCCCTCCCCTGAATCTCCTTCACTCAGCTAGGCTCTCAAGTCTAATAGGCCCTTCTCGGCTCACTGTGCTCTTGCAGAGCACCTGTAACCTTAAGGGCAGATTGCATGGCTCCGTTCCTCCCCATACCACAAGCCTTGCAGGTGTTACTGTATCGTTATCCACTCTGTAGAGGTCTTGGCCTTATCAACCTTTTTCTTCCATGCTCTCACTGGGCCCTTTAGCCCAGGTCCACAGTACAGGACCTGGCTCCAGACTCCCTGCCTGCAGATCCTTTACCTTCTCAGTCTCTAGTGGTGGTCCCTCTTGGACCTTCAGCCCTTCCTGGGCCTTGACTCCCATCCTGGGCCAGTTGGGAACACTTGGCTTCCGCAGTCCTGGCAGTCTGTCTAAAGCCCCTTTTGGGCTACCAGCTCTCCGAGTAGACCTTGAGCCTCCCCCAGGGGTCCTAGTCTTCCCCAGAAGTGCCCTGGAAAACAGCTGTTCACCAAGCTCCTGATGCACTCCTCTGATATAGCAGCAAGCCGCTATCAAGTCGCCTCTCAATCTTCTCTTCTTTAGGCTAGAGGCCCAGGTTCCTCAGCTTCCCCTCGTATGGCTTGCCTTGCAAGTCCCTGATCATATGGGTGGCTCTTTTCTGGACTCTCTCGAGTTTTTCACGTCCTTATTGAAGCGCGGCACCCAGAACTGGATGCAGTACTCCAACTGCGGTCTTACTAGTGCCGAGTACAGCAGGAGTATCACTTCTTTAGTTTTACATGAGATTCATCGGTTGATGCATGCCAGTGTGTTATCTGCCCTGCTGGCCACCACATCGCACTGATGGCATGCCCCCTATAAGCCTTATCTCATTTGTCCTTTCCCTTGGTCCAGTGAAATACCAAAGCAAAGCAGGTATTCAGGAGTTCATTTTTTTCCTGAATGTCAGTTACCAACTGGTCTGAGGTGTTAAGCAGGGGTCCCACACGTCCATTTGTTTTCCTTCTACTGCCTAAATATCTAAAGAAGGACTTCTTATTGTCCTTTCCCGTGGCTAACCTAAACTCAGTCACCGCCTTCGTTTTCCTGATCATTGCCCTACAAGTGCTGGCCACTAATGTATAGTCTTCCTTGCGGACTGTCCCTAGCTTCCACTGTGCATACATCTCTTTTTTAATTAATCGAGTCTGCTCTGACACAATGGATTTCCAGCACATCAGAGCAGGCTCCCTGCATGTGTGTAAGTGTCCTAAGGGACTGACTCCCACTGGATTAGCAGATACACTGTAGGTAGGTAAGTATTAACTAAAAAGATGAACAGAGACACAACAATAGGCAGTGTTGAAAAGACAGGCATTGGGTTGGTTGGAAGTTTAGTGGAGTTCTTCAAGGACTGGTCTTGGGACATACCTTGTTTAATATTTTCTTTCTTTAACGACCTTGGCACAAAAAAGAGGGGCTAGTGATAAATGTTATCAGCACAAAGCTGTGAAGCTCAGTGAATGCAGAAGAAGATCAGGATATCATGCAGGAAGAACTGGATCACACTGAGAACTGGAACAAAACTCAATATACCTTGACTTAAGAAGGCTTTGACATGGTCTCCCACAACATTCTCATTAGCAGGCTAAGGAAATACAGACTAGACGGAAGTAGTGTAAGGTGTATACAAAACTTGTTGGATCATCATGCTCAGCAACTAGTCCTCAATGGCTCAATGTCAAGTTGGGAGAAGGTATCAAGTCTCTCCTGGGCTTGGTATTCTTCAATATCTTCATTAATGATTTGGATGATGCAACTGAGTGTACATTTAGTAAAATTGCAGGTGACATCAAGTTGGGTGGAAGTGCAGACACTCCAAAGGGCAGACCGACCTGGATAGATTGGAGAAATGGTCTGCAATCAAATCAGATGAGATTCAACATGGAAAAGTGCAAAGTCCTACACTTGGGACAGAATAACTGCATGCACACATATAGACTAGGGAATGACTGGCTAGGCTGCAGTACTGCAGATAAGTACCTGAGGATTACAGCAGACCACAAACTGACTATAAGCCAACAATGTGTTCTCGTTGCAAAAAGTGAACAACATTCTGAGTTGTATTAACAAGAATGTCACTTGCAAATCAAAGGAGGTCGATCTATTCAGCACTGGCGAGGCTTCACCTGGAGTTCTGGGCCACACATTTCAAGGACATGGACAGTTTGGAAAGAGCCCAGCACAGAGCAATAAAAATGATCAGGGACCTGGGAGACAAGACTTATGAGGGAAGGCTGAAAGAACTAGGATTATTTAGCCTAGAAAAGAGAAGAGTGAGAGGGGTTTTTAATAACAGTCTTCAAAATATCTGAAGGGTAAGTATAGAGAGGATGAAGAATTGCTTTTCTCTGTGGCTATAGGGGACATAATTAGAAACAATGGCCTCAAGCTGCAGCAGGTTGGAGATTAGGAGGAACTTTCTAACAGTGAGGGTGGTCAGGAATTGATTGGAACAGGCTACTTAGAGAATTTGTGGAATCTCCAATCTTGGAATTTTTCAGAAGCAGATTACACAGACACTTGGCAGGGATGGTTTAGTCGAGGATGATTCTGCTTTGAGCAGGGGGCTTGGCTAGATGACTCTATGAGGTCCCTTCCAGCCCTACTTTCCCATGCTCCTATAAAACAGTTATGAGCTGCCAAAATGCTGTAGCTATGAAAAAGGCAAGTAAAATCCTAGGTTGCAGTGTCAAGGTACTTCCAACAGATATAGGAAATCATTAATGTCATCGTACAAAATAGGAGCGAGACCTCATTTGAAATCT